AATAACCCCCACACCACACCCTGGCCCCCACACCAATAACCCCCACACCACACCCTGGCCCCCACGCCAATAACCCCTCACACCACACCCTGGCCCCCACACCAATAACCCCCACACCACACCCTGGCCCCCACACCAATAACCCCCACACCACACCCTGGCCCCCACACCAATAACCCCTCACACCACACCCTGGCCCCCACACCACCCCTGGCCCCCACACCACACCCTGGCCCCCACACCAATAACCCCCACACCACACCCTGGCCCCCACACCAATAACCCCCACACCAATAACCCCCACACCACGCCCTGGCCCCCACACCAAAAACCCCCACACCACACCATGGCCCCCACACCAATAACCCCCACACCACACCCTGGCCCCCACACCAATAACCCCTCACACCACACCCTGGCCCCCACACCACCCCTGGCCCCCACACCACACCCTGGCCCCCACACCAATAACCCCCACACCACACCCTGACCCCCACACCAATAACCCCCACACCACACCCAGGCCCCCACACCAATAACCCCTCACACCACACCCAGGCCCCCACACCACCCCTGGCCCCCACACCACACCCTGGCCCCCACACCAATAACCCCCACACCACACCCTGGCCCCCACACCAATAACCCCCACACCACACCCTGGCCCCCACACCAACAACCCCCACACCACACCCTGACCATCAGCACTGTGCCCAGGGCACTACATAACTCTCACACTAATACTTCACACTTTACACTTGTCTTGACAAAAAGAAGCAAAAAAATAACCAAAACGCCGACAATTACAAATATCTTGACAAAATACCAACTAATAATAATATACAAAATATGTTGCAGGAAACAGAATTTACTTGGAACAGAAACATATTATAAAATAATGATAAGGCAACACATTGACGGTCCCAGACAGTATACTTATGGGGTGTTGGTACACACTGGTCAGTATGAGAGATCAGGGTCACTACACACTGGCCAGTATGAGGGTCAGTGTGAGAGATGAGGGTCACTACACACTGGCCAGTATGAGAGATGAGGGTCACTACACACTGGCCAGTATGAGGGGTCAGTATGAGAGATCAGGGTCACTACACACTGGCCAGTATGAGGGTCAGTATGAGAGATCAGGGTCACTACACACTGGCCAGAATGAGAGATGAGGGTCACTACATACTGGCCAGTATGAGGGGGTAGTGTGAGAGAGATGAGGGTCACTACACACTGGCCAGTATGAGGGGGTAGTGTGAGAGAGATGAGGGTCACTACACACTGGCCAGTATGAGGGGTCAGTATGAGAGATGAGGGTCACTACACACTGGCCAGTATGAGGGGTTAGTGTGAGATGAGGGTCACTGCACACTGGTCAGTATGAGGGGTCAGTGTGAGAGATGAGGGTCACTACACACTGGCCAGTATGAGGGGTCAGTATGAGAGATGAGGGTCACTACACACTGGCCAGTATGAAGGTCAGTGTGAGAGATGAGGGGTCACTACACAATGGCCAGTATGAGGGTCAGTGTGAGAGATGAGTGTCACTACACACTGGCCAGTATGAGGGTCAGTGTGAGAGATGAGGGGTCACTACACAATGGCCAGTATGAGGGTCAGTGTGAGAGATGAGGGTCACTACACACTGGCCAGTATGAGGGGTCAGTATGAGAGATGAGGGTCACTACACACTGGCCAGTATGAGGGTCAGTGTGAGAGATGAGGGTCACTACACACTGGCCAGTATGAGGGGTCAGTATGAGAGATGAGGGTCACTACACACTGGCCAGTATGAGGGGTCAGTGTGAGAGATCAGGTCACTACACACTGGCCAGTATGAGGGGTCAGTATGAGAGATGAGGGTCACTACACACTGGCCAGTATGAGGGTCAGTGTGAGAGATCAGGGTCACTACACACTGGCCAGTATGAGGGGTCAGTATGAGAGATGAGGGTCACTACACACTGGCCAGTATGAGGGGTTAGTGTGAGAGATGAGGGTCACTACACACTGGCCAGTATGAGGGTCAGTGTGAGAGATCAGGGTCACTAAACACTGGCCAGTATGAGGGGTCAGTGTGAGAGATCAGGTCACTACACACTGGCCAGTATGAGGGGTCAGTGTGAGAGATCAGGTCACTCCACACTGGCCAGTATGACGGGTCAGTATGAGAGATCAGGTCACTACACACTGGCCAGTGTGAGGGGTCAGTGTGAGAGATCAGGGTCACTACACACTGGCCAGTATGAGGGGTCAGTGTGAGAGATCAGGTCACTCCACACTGGCCAGTATGAGGGGTCAGTATGAGAGATCAGGTCACTACACACTGGCCAGTATGAGGGGTCAGTATGAGAGATCAGGTCACTACACACTGGCCAGTATGAGGGGTCAGTGTGAGAGATCAGGGTCAGTACACACTGGCCAGTATGAGGGGTCAGTATGAGAGATGAGGGTCACTACACACTGGCCAGTATGAGGGGTCAGTATGAGAGATGAGGGTCACTACACACTGGCCAGTATGAGGGGTCAGTTTGAGAGATCAGGGTCACTACACACTGGCCAGTATGAGGGGTCAGTATGAGAGATCAGGTCACTACACACTGGCCAGTATGAGGGGTCAGTGTGAGAGATCAGGGTCACTACACACTGGCCAGTATGAGGGGTCAGTATGAGAGATGAGGGTCACTACACACTGGCCAGTATGAGGGGTCAGTATGAGAGATGAGGGTCACTACACACTGGCCAGTATGAGGGGTCAGTATGAGAGATGAGGGTCACTACACACTGGCCAGTATGAGGGGTCAGTATGAGAGATGAGGGTCACTACACACTGGCCAGTATGAGGGTCAGTGTGAGAGATCAGGGTCACTACACACTGGCCAGTATGAGGGGTCAGTATGAGAGATGAGGGTCACTACACACTGGCCAGTATGAGGGTCAGTGTGAGAGATGAGGGTCACTACACACTGGCCAGTATGAGGGTCAGTGTGAGAGATGAGGGACACTACACACTGGCCAGTATGAGGGGTCAGTGTGAGAGATCAGGTCACTACACACTGGCCAGTATGAGGGTCAGTATGAGAGATCAGGGTCACTACACACTGGCCAGTATGAGGGTCAGTATGAGAGATCAGGGTCACTACACACTGGCCAGTATGAGGGTCAGTATGAGAGATCAGGGTCACTACACACTGGCAGCTGTACCAAAACTTTAATACAAATGGAACTTATTATAAACTAAGTTTAGGTTCTTGTTGGGTTAATGCTAGTGAGATATGAGGCCCCTGATAGTATACTAGTGAGATATGAGGCCCCTGATAGTATACTAGTGAGGTATGAGACCCCTGATAGTATACTAGTGAGGTATGAGGCCCCTGATAGTATACTAGTGAGGTATGAGGCCCCTGATAGTATACTAGTGAGGTATGAGGCCCCTGATAGTATACTAGTGAGTTATGAGGCCCCTGATAGTATACTAGTGAGGTATGAGGCATCTGATAGTATACTAGTGAGGTATGAGGCCCCTGATAGTATACTAGTGAGATATGAGGCCCCAGATAGTATACTAGTGAGGTATGAGGCCCCTGATAGTATACTAGTGAGGTATGAGGCCCCTGATAGTATACTAGTGAGTTATGAGGCCCCTGATAGTATACTAGTGAGGTATGAGGCCCCTGATAGTATACTAGTGAGGTATGAGGCATCTGATAGTATACTAGTGAGGTATGAGGCACCTGATAGTATACTAGTGAGGTATGAGGCCCCCTGATAGTATACTAGTGAGGTATGAGGCATCTGATAGTATACTAGTGAGGTATGAGGCACCTGATAGTATACTAGTGAGGTATGAGGCCCCTGATAGTATACTAGTGAGGTATGAGGCATCTGATAGTATACTAGTGAGGTATGAGGCCCCTGATAGTATACTAGTGAGGTATGAGGCATCTGATAGTATACTAGTGAGGTATGAGGCCCCTGATAGTATACTAGTGAGGTATGAGGCACCTGATAGTATACTAGTGAGGTATGAGGCCCCTGATAGTATACTAGTGAGGTATGAGGCATCTGATAGTATACTAGTGAGGTATGAGGCCCCTGATAGTATACTAGTGAGGTATGAGGCACCTGATAGTATACTAGTGAGGTATGAGGCCCCTGATAGTATACTAGTGAGGTATGAGGTACGTGATAGTATACTTGAGAGGTATGAGGCCCCTGATAGTATACTAGTGAGGTATGAGGCACCTGATAGTATACTAGTGAGGTATGATGCTCCTCATAGTATACTACTGAGGTATAAGGGCCCTGATAGTATACTAGTGAGGCATGAGGCACCTGATAGTATACTAGTGAGGTATGATGCTCCTCATAGTATACTACTGAGGTATAAGGGCCCTGATATACTAGTGAGGTATGATGCTCCTCATAGTATACTAGTGAGGTATGAGGCACCTGATAGTATACTAGTGAGGTATGAGGGCCCTGATAGTATACTGATGAGGTATGAGGCCCCTGATAGTATCCTAGTGAGGTATGAGGCCCCTGATAGTATACTAGTGAGGTATGAGGCCCCTGATAGTATACTAGTGAGGTATGAGGCCCCTGATAGTATCCTAGTGAGGTATGAGGCCCCTGATAGTATACTAGTGAGGTATGAGGCCCCTGATATTATACTAGTGAGGAATGAGGGGCCCTGATAGTATACTAGTGAGGTATGAGGGCCCCTGATAGTATACTAGTGAGGAATGAGGGCCCTGATAGTATACTAGTGAGGTATGAGGCCCCTGATAGTATACTAGTGAGGTATGAGGCCCCTGATAGTATACTAGTGAGGTATGAGGCCCCTGATAGTATACTAGTGAGGTATGAGGCCCCTGATAGTATACTAGTGAGGTATGAGGCCCCAGGTGAGAGCGTGCAAGTGAAGTATCAGGTCCCATATACAGTGTGCCTGAGGACAGAAAATACCTAAGAGAATATGAGGGAAAAGTTACCTTATAGAGGCACCAGAGTGAGACGAAGCAGTAGACGGCCAGGACCCTCCATATCCAGGCGGAGCTGAGACACGACACGGACGCGTACACCGTCGTCAGCGCTCCTGTAGAGGGAGCAGGAGGGTGCGGGGGTTACTATAGAGGGCTGAAGGGGGGAGGGAGAGTATCATGGGGAAATATAAACAATTGAGCGCAGAAGACCTATGTGTATGTCAAGGTTACCTCCTGTGATCATTGACTAATGCCGTGAGCACACGTGTGTGTGTGTGTGTGTGTGTGTGTGTGTGTGTGTGTGTGTGTGTGTGTGTGTGTGTGTGTGTGTGTGTGTGTGTGTGTGTGTGCGTGTGCGTACTCATCTAGTTGTGCTAGCTGGGGTTGAGCTCTGGCTCTTTAGTCCCGCCTCTGAACTGTCAATCAATCAACTGTTACTAATTACTATTTTTTTTTTTACACACACCCAGGAAGCTGCCCGTAGCAGCTGTCTAATTCCCAGCTACCTATTTACTGCTAGGTAACAGGCAACAGGGATGAAAGGAACTCCGCCCATTGTTTCTCGCCGGCGCCGGGAATCGAACCCGGGCCACAGGATTACGTGTTCAGCGTGTTATCCACACAGCCACCGGCGCCCTTCCGGTGGCTACTTGTGTATAGGCTCAGCCTACTGAGCCCGGTGGGGCTCAGTAGGCTGAGCACATCAAAACAATCAAGTGAGCCCGCACACACACACACACACACATGTGGGATGAATTCAGTGAAGGACTGAGAATAATGAGGGAGACAGTTGCCAACTTGCAGGATGAACTAAGGGCAGCAAAGGAGGAGATTAGATGCCTGAAGGAGACTCCTCCCCAATACCAGACACAAACCGTGCCTCAGGGAGACAGGAATGCTACTGTGGAGGGGACCTCCACACCTCAGCTCTCATTTGCTGAAATGCTTAAAATGAGCCCTGAAGCTAGGTCTGCAGTTAAGGAAGTTGCAATGGAAGTGGTTTCCTCTCAGGAAGCAGCTAGATGTACTAGCCGGCTGATAGAGAGAAAAAGAGCAGTAGTAGTAGCAGACATTAAAGAGCAAACAGGAACCAGACCAAAGGAGCGGAGAGACAAGGACAAAAACATGGTTAAAGAGATCCTTAAAGAGGTAGGGATGGAGGGAGCTGAACAAAATGTTGAAAAGGTTTTCAGGCTTGGAAAGTACAACAAGGACAGAGACCGAATGATAAAGGTGGTATCCATGAGCGAAATCACGAAAGAGGAACTGTTAGCAAGGAAGTGCTGTCTAGCAAATGTAGAGAAGTTCAAAAGAGTATTCCTGCAGAGGAATATGACAAGGGAAGAGAGAAAGCAGGCAGCAGACGTGAGGAAGGAGTGCAGGGAGAGAGAAAGGAATCGGGGAGCCACAACCCCGATCCCTACAATCCCAGAGGGGATGGGGAACCCTTCTCAAACAGTGCACTAGCCACAGGGAGTGTGACACCACCCCCACATTCTACCCAACAGACACCCTACCTGCCCCAACCCCTGTCAGCCCCCCACTAAGTACCCACCTAAGGCACTCTCCCCCCACCCACCCCTCTCCTCCCACTCACCCCCCTCCTCCCACTCACCCTCCCCCCAGGACCTCCCTTCTCCCCCATCCCCCAAGCCCTCCCTTCTCCCACATACCCTCCCATCTCTCCCACCCACAAGCCCTCCATTCTCCCCCGCCCCCCGAAGCCCCCCACTCTTCCCCACCCCACCTAAGCCTTCCCCTCTCCACCACTCCCCAAAACTCTCCCCTCTTCCTCACCCACCTCAGCCTTCCCTTTCCCCCCACGCCCCCCAAGCCCTCCCCCCTTTACTGCCCCCCCAAACCCCCCTTCTCCCCCATCCCCCCAAACCTCCTCCTCTCACCCCCCTCAAGCCTCCCCCTTTCACCCCCCAACCCTCCCCCTCTCACCCCCCCCCCAACCTTCCCCCACTCACCCACTCCCCCTCCCCCCACCCCCCAAGCCCTTCCTCCTCCACCAATCTCCCCGTACCAGATCCTCCCAGCTCCCGCTCACCCCAGACCCCACAGGTCCCCCCCCCAGAGGAGAAGCAGAAGAGAGTCAGTTTCAGGGCAATGTACTCGAACATTGATAGGATCACAAGCAAGGCAAGTGAACTAAGGGAAAGAGCACAAGAAGTGAACCCAGATGTAATCGGACTCACTGAAACAAAACTCTTTGGAATCATAATGAATGCCGTGTTTCCCCATGAGTACACAGTAATAAGGAAAGAGAGGGAAGGTAGGGGAGAAGGCGGAGTGGCCCTACTCATGAGAAAGGAATGGAATTTTAAGGAGATGGCTATCCCGGGCTGTGAGGGTTTCAGAGACTACATAGCAGGCACCATGACAATGGGAGGACCAAGGATAGTATTAGCAGTAATATATAACCCTCCACCAAATGACAGAAGACCCAGTCAAGAGTACGAAAACAACAACAACATGGCAGTTAACACTATAATTGAGAGGGCAGCCTCTGCTGCCTGTAGATATAGATCCCACCTGCTCATCATGGGAGACTTCAATCACGGAAGGATTGATTGGGAGAACAAGGAACCGCATGGAGGCGAGGATACGTGGAGAGTCAAACTACTGGAGGTGATGACTAGAAACTTCTTAACCCAGCATGTCAGAGAACCCACAAGGATGAGAGGAAATGATGAGCCAGCGAGACTCGACCTGGTTTTCACCCTGAACGACTCTGACATAAGAGAAATCGGTTTTGAGGCCCCAGTAGGAATGAGCGACCACAGTGTATTGGTGTTTGAGTACCTGATTGAAGAAGGGTTATTGAACTCGAGGAGGGATACCGAAACCAAAAGGTTAGCATACCAAAAGGGAAACTATGAGGAGATAAGAAAATTCATAACAGATATAGAATGGAAACAGAGCTCAGGGAAAAGACGGCCCAAGATATGATGGACTACATCACGCAAAAATGCAAGGATGCAGCAAACAAGTTTGTCCCAGCCCAAAAGGAAAACAGTGAAATGAAGATGAGAAACCCATGGTTTAATCAGAGATGTAGGCTAGCTAAGCAGCAAAGTAAAAGGGCATGGAGAAACTATAGGAATAACATGACACTGGAGAGCAGAGAAAGATACCAGAATGCCAGGAATGAATGTGTCAGGATGAGAAGAGATGTAACACTGAAAAAGTGTTTGGTTTAGTTTATTTAAAATATATATAGTACATGAGTCACAGACAGGGATTTGGAAAGGCGCCAGGTTGTCGGCCTGAGATCTCACACCTCAAAGCATTAATGACCCCAAGTGACCTGAGGTCAGATCATGCGAATTTCACCTTACTTCTACTAATCTTATAATTGGAGCCTGGTAGCCTTCAAACTTGCTGACGTTTAAGGAGTGGCTTGGTAGAAAGCCGGAGGCTATCTACTTGTGGGCGGAGTTAGCTACTAGGTTCCCCAATAAATACTCGGAGAACTATCGATTCGAGAGCACTAAGAGAAGAACAGCAGACGAGCCAGCAGAGCAGAGAAGACGTCCCTAGCAGGGAGGCTGTCGGCCGTCAGGGCGAGACAGTCTCTGTCAAGCTACAGACCCCACCCCCCTCTATCCAGCTATAGGCAGAGACACTTGGTGAGTTGAGCAGTAAGGTGACTTGGTCGTGTTTTACAAGTGTTGTGTGATGATCAGGGGCAGTCAGTTGTAGTGTTCTCAGATTCTTGGAGGATGACTCACTTTACATATATAGATCTTGAACATTGCTTAAATTATGATACTTAGTATATGAAATATAACTGAATTTATTATTTAAATGGCCTTTAACTGTGTCCCCTATGTTTGGAGTTGATACATGGTAATAACATCTTTTGAGAATATTGTGATACAGACAAGTTCCATTCCTTGTCTTGTATGTAATGGTCTAGAATGGATGGTGGCAGCATTTCGTCTTCTACTATCTACTCTTCTACTTCTACCTATCTACACCTCTCCCTCCACCCCTCTCTAAACTCTCACTTTCAACTAATGACCCTCCTCGCTCCTCCCACCTCTCTGCCTCTCACCCCAAACCCTCACTAATTACTTCACTATTCATTTCTTTCCTTTCGTTTTCTCTTATACGTTTGTGGCAGTGATTATGTATTCTCGAGTTCTCTCTAGAGTTTCGGGTAACTGATCAAGTGACGGCGCCTTTTAGTCTTAGCACCTAGGTAGTCGAATACCTAGGTTACAAGGTGTTGAACCAGAGAGGTTGCCTTAGGAACTCTGGGAGTGCTCTAGAATAGTTAGCTAACTGGGGACGGGATAACGGACTAGAGAGAGCTGTTTCCCCCGGCCTCGTTAGTTAACTGGGGGGTGGAATAATGGACAAGATAGAGCTATTTCCCCCACCCCCCGTTACAGAGAGGCAGAAAGACAATACGAAAATGACATCGCAAGCAAGGCAAAGACTCAGCCTAAATTGCTGCATAGCCACATCAGGAGAAAAACAACAGTAAAGGAACAGGTTATGAAATTAAGGATAGGGGCTGAAGGATTCACTACAAACGACAAGGAAGTGTGTGAGGAACTAAATAAGAAATTCCAAGAGGTCTTCACCTTAGAGCAAGGAGAAATCCCAGAGATAAGAGAGGGAATAGCTAACCAGGAACCACTGGAAGAGTTTGAGATTACCAGCGGGGAAGTAAGGAAGTGTTTACTAGAGTTGGATGTGACAAAGGCTATAGGCCCAGATGGAATCTCCCCTTGGATACTAAAGGAAGGAGCAGAAGAACTGTGCCTCCCACTCTCCATAGTGTATAACAAATCTCTGGCAACAGGGGAACTACCAGAAATTTGGAAAGCAGCTAACGTAGTCCTTATATACAAGAAAGGGGATAGACAGGAGGCACTGAATTACAGGCCAGTGTCCCTAACCTGCATACCATGCAAGCTGACGGAGAAGATTGTGCGAAGAAAGCTAGTGGAGCACCTGGAGCGAAAGAACTTTGTAACACAGCATCAACATGGATTCAGGGATGGCAGGTCCTGCCTCACAGGGTTATTTGAATTCTATGACCAGGCAACAAAAATAAGGCAAGAAAGAGAAGGGTGGGCAGACTGCATGTTTTTGG